TCCTTGTGTTAAAGATCAAAAACTTGGACTCATCTCAAACTTACCACTTGTCAAATTTTGTCTAAAATACAGGTTGAGCTATGTAAACCTACAGCTACAGTAAATACCCAGAAGTGCTACAAAGTGGCCTATTTTAGTAGAACTTATTTTTCAGTATAGAAAGCTGCAGGGGATGGTGTCTGTGGACCCTGTGTTGCAACTAAAACTAATTAAACATGACTTTGGGCCGTGATCACATGTCATGTAAGATTTCAGTGTGAGAATCCCCCACGCTGAGTGCAAGGTCTCATCTAATTATGAAAAAGTTGTCAAGGTGATGGCCCTCCTGCTTGGTATCTGTGCGTGGTACCCGCCTGAGAAACAACAGGCTGTCAGAAACCTGCGCCCACTGTTGCCTCTCAAGCTAAAACCTGTACAATGTGCAGGCCTCATGAACTGTCTGTGAAACAAAGGTGCCTCTCTAAATTACTCACAGAGTCAGTCACAAAACAGCAGAAGGGTATGAAGCTGCTGAGCAGTGGTAGTTTCTTGATAATAGTCCACATTTGGTCCACCTCCAGCCAGGCAGGGTACTAAATTTGCTGAGAACATAAATGTCGCTCTGTGCAACAACTTGTGTTGTCTCACACCACAAATAGTACCGAATGAGTTATTTTATATACGGTATATCCTGGTCTGCTGGAGACAAATATGTCACATAAATGGGAAAAAAGCAATTAAATAAAGCTATGCTCTTTACAGTGTCAGAGTTATACATCCCTCAAGGTTAATTGCCTTCTGGTTACTGACTGGTCTCAATGGAGAGGTCAGAGGTCAGTGTTCAGGGTTAAAGCTGACAATGTGCTGCCCCGGCACCATTCAGTAAGGTGACACAGTGTCCACGCCATGCTGCCCTAAGTGGCTATGCCATTTTTGAGTCACAATTAAGCCTGTAAATGTTACAAGAAAGCATCACATACCAAAAACAATCACTTGCAGACAGCTGGTTAAAAGCTCAAGGATTTAATGTGAGTTCATAAAGAAAACTACATTAGACATGGCAAAGAGTTCACATTCTTCACTGACTGACACTGATCTCTGAAAAGATATTGCAGTGATTGATTTGATTTATTCTTTCAAGCATGTAAAGACAGTTGATATGTCAACACACATAATTTTACACATATCCAACAAATGCTAATCCAATATCAATGTGCTTATACCTAGTACATGCTTGAATAGAGTAGGAAGAAGTCAGACTTATCCAGTCCTACCCCATGACATCATCTTACCATCATTGGTTTGCAAGCAGTAAATTACATAAAAAGAAAAGCAATTTACAGACACAGTGTCTGGCTAAAAGGCAGGTTGAAGGAAAAACCAAAACATTGAATTAGATCTTAAAAGAGTGCACATGGCACCAAGTAAATATAAAAGACTGATACTAAAATTAATATCTAATCTTACATTTAACACAACAGTGCCTCTCAGAAAATTAGATTTGGAAAAAACACTATGCTGGCAGTCAACCACCTCTGTTACCTTCCCAGTACAGCTGTACAGTACACTGAGCTGATCTCCCACACTACTCCTTTTAACAGATGCTCTGACTCTTGGTCTCTGACTGCACAGAAGGCAGGTACAGTATAACACCTTGTCTGTACCACTTTGAAACCTAAGCAGAGTAATAATATGACTTTCTCGGGTGAGCTGAAGCAGTCATACTGAAATAATCTAATTATTATTATATCTAATATTTCATTCAGTTAGCATCAAAATATTATGTTATCTACATATGTTTTGTCTAATTCATCCTTCACCATCCCAGGCTGTAATGCAGGCTATAATAACCATGCACAGACCTCATCATGCAAAGAATTTACTCCAAGGTAAAGGTAGCAGTGTACAGTATACAGTAAGCTAGCTTACATTTATATTAGCTTGTGTCATTAGTGACACAAGTTGCAAAAGACAAACAGGGAAAGGTAGTAGGTGTAGAAGAAAATGTTCTGGCAAGGAGAGACGCTAATAAACACTAATGTTCAAACAATAGATCACAGCACCCTCTGCTGGTCTTTTATATGTCTCTCAAATGTGTTTATATGTTTCTCTCAAACCTACAAATTTCAGCCTGTCCACTGTGAGAGTAAAAATGCATGTGTATAGTCAGAATAGTACATAAATCACTATATGTGCAACATTTACTTGAAGTGAGCGGGCAAATTAAAATAAGTAAATGATAAATTGTGCAAGCAGACTAACAGCAGTAACAGCAAGACGGATGTATTATGTCCTGAGAAGACATAGAGTAAATACTGTGTGCTACTGTTTGAGTCTGTCTGAACTATGCTGTGGCTCCACAAGAGTGCAAGCAGGACAAGCTGTGTTAGCGGTGGCCAGGCAGATGGGTGGGGGTTTTACGGGGTTAATGTCAGACATGCAACAGAGGCGACATCCCCTCTGGGGCTTTACTGATTTGCACTGATCACAAGGTCTTAGCAAGGTGCCATTTCATGTGAGACTGTAAACAAGGTCAAAGGGACGTTGAGTTACAGCTGCCAGTCACCCAGCCAGTCTGTGACCATGCATGGTGATGTGGAAGACTGGAAATGACAGAGACAAAGATGAGGTAGCGATCTACAGTGTATCTACTGAAAGTCAGCGTTAGCTAAGGCACACAGGGTACATGGAAAGATTGTGAAGTGGCACAATTTTGGAGGAGGAAATTACACTTGTTTAAAAAAAATAGTGTTGGAGAAAGGTACTCATTGTGCTGTTTGGTGGCATGAGGAAATATTGAAGAAAATATTTGCCCTGCTTGGTGAAGGTAAAGGTTACAAAGGAAACTCCAAGGTGCAGTTCGAAAGGAGGAAAATCCAACAAGATTTCAAAACACAGACAAGCTGACCTCCAGTTGGCCTATACCTGCTTTCTGACAGTGGTGGAAGAAGTACTTAAATTCTTTACTCAAGAAAAACTAGGAGTACCACAGTGTAAAAATACACCTGCATTCAAAATGCACTTAAGTAAAAGTACAAAAGTATTAGCATCAAAATATATTTAAAATACCAAAACTAAAAGTACTCATTCTGCAGATCAGCACATTTCACATTCATGTATATTATTCAATTCTAATTACTGATGCATCATTGTGTACACTATATCTAATATTACAGCTGATAAAGGTGTAGCTGGTTTTAACAACCTTATATGGTCATAATTTGAAGAGCTGATATGTAGCTTGTGAATTTCCCACCAGAGATCAATAAAGTCTTATAACTATACTCTATTTTGTTCTGTCAATTAAATTCTGAAAAGTAACTAGTAACTAAAGTTATCAAATAAATGCAGTGGAGTAAAAAGTATTGTATTTGCCTCTAAAATGTGGTGAAGTCAAAGTATGAAGTAGCAGAAAAAGAAAATACTCAAGTAAAATATCAGATACTTCAAAATTATACTTCAGTGCAGTAGTTGAGTAAATGCATTTAGTTACTTTTCACGTTTGCTTTCTGAATGACAGTGGGCTCCATGGAAGCCCACTTTGAGCAAAAGTGTTGGCAAGCCACAGCGTTTCTGGGCGAATGTCCTTTGGACAGATGAAATAATTTAAAGTTGTCTAAATGGATAAATGGTTGAAACAGCTCAAAGTAATGGGCAAAGTGTGGTACTAGTATGAATACAAACCTGACCAAACCAACGTAAACACCTTACAGTTAAACTGTATGAAAGAAATACTGTACTGTTAGTATGTAGTTATACTGTTAATTCAATTCAAACACACACATTTGTAACATGACAGGGGTGTTGATGTTCATCTGACAGGGCCCAGAGGGGTGTGTCTGATGGAAATCTGTACTTGGCGCACAGAGACACTGGTACATTGGTGGCTCATGCTTGTTTGCACCCTGGGTTCAGTTCAAACTTTCCCTGAAATCATTCCTGTTTCCCTTGGTGTATCCCATGAAGCAGAAATGTTACATGTTGTTACATGTTACAATGCATACACCACCAGAGGAAGGTTATTTATGTGCTGGAATACTGGTCGCTTCTCTATTGATTTCAGATTGGGAGCAGCAGTGGGAGAGCCGAGGCCTATAGTACTGACTGTCTGGTCTGTGATCAGTTAATGTAAAATCATCTTCAGTTTAATTCAGACACAAACTACAGTGTTGGACAATACACCAGTTTGACTCACCAGCTGTTTTTATTGTGCTTGCTTCCATACTGTATACCACAGATATGGAGCTGTAACTGTAATGTTTGTGGGTTAGTCCACAATTAATGCATTTTTTCCACAACTGCATGTAAAATATATTAATAATGTAGACTGATGTGTTATTATGTGTCAGATGTGCTTCGCTGTGCTTTTCTAACTGGTTTGAAGTGGACAGGGCTCAGGGGGGAAGGTGATCTCCTAGACTTCTGTGAACCAATCAGTATTTGGCAACAACTACTCAGCTGGTGCACTATTTGTTGCTGTGAGTCAAATAATACTGAACCGTCCCCAAAAGGTCCTCGTCAATTTGAGGGCTTACATAGGTCTTAAATCTCTCCTCTCAGTATCTGATGATAACATTCTACTTTAAAAATGTGTAGAGTTCATAAAAAGCTACAGTATGATATTCTATTGTAGTGATAAAGGTGGACCTCTAGAGGGTGTCAGAGCACCATGTGACCCATTTCACAAACACCAGCTATTGCATTTTCTAGCTGGTTACTCAGAGTTCAGCAAACAAGACATTAAAAATATTAATTTGAAGTGAGTGGTGTCAATAGGAGACTAAATGTATAGACTATACATTCTGTCTTGCACAGAAACGTCTGTGAGAGAAACCTTGGAGTGGGGATTTCTGAGACCAACTCAGTGGGTACTATTTAAAACAATTATATCATATGTTTCTTATAAGTCCTTTTTGTATCCAGGACCAATACTCAATGCATTGTTGTCAATTGTTAGCACAGATGTAAGAATCAGACAAGGAGGAATTAATCAAATCATTTTTTATTTGACAAAGTGTTGGTGGATTATAGCTGACACAGTTATAAAGTAACTTCGTAGTAAAGCAGTAAAGTTAAAAGTAACCTGTGAAAGAATTTCCCTGAATATATTGTTGTAAAATATAATGAGACAACAACCAAGTTGTCTACTGTTTTATGAAACATCTCTCTACTGATTATTTTTGTTTGCAGCAAAATGTACTGTCACCATTAATTTCACTGAAGTACACTACTAGTCCGAAGTCTGGACGCACTTTGCCATTGGACCGAAGGTGAAAGTGTGTCCGAATGTTCTACTGGTAGTGTATATAAATGAGAAACATCTACACAAAGTCTTTCATATCCCAACATCACATCTTGTGATGAAATTGCACATCATTAGTTAGCTTGCCCCTCCAGGGCTCATTGTGTTGCTCTGTCGAGTGCATCAAAGTTTGCACGACTGCACAGCCATACTATCTTCCGGCCAGCGGTACGAGTCCACAGCAAACTCCTCATAGTCAGTCGAATAAATGAGCGAGTGGATATAAGCCTGTTTGTCGGACAGCTTTGGGCGAAGTGTCGCCAGGTTATGCTCATAGGCATACTCCATGATCTGTAACACACAGGTTAAGGGAAATGAAAGGTTTTGGAGTTTCAGAAGCCCTTGTAACATTGGACATGATAAGGTCTATCTGCTGTGGGATGTGTGTATACTGAGCCCCCACCTTGATGGCCAGTTTGACAGAGACATCTCTGATGGAGCTGAGAGGAGGATACAGTCTTCCCTCTGCCAGGTCCTTCTCTGTCACCAGGTGAGCCAGAGCCTGTTAAACAGTAAGCACACACACCTGACATTACCCTGGTAAAAAACAAAAATAACTCTCTCATACTCATACAGTATGTGTTGCATGAAGCAGTGGGGTGTTTGACAACACTGTGTACTATTAGACTTTTGGGTGTTTAGTTATAACTAAAGTGACAGATGCTTTTATGTGATAAACTCTGGATATGCTTTGCTTTTTTCTTATTGTTTCCCACTTACCCAGTAGTCAGTGGTGGAATGCAATGTACAAATGCAAAGTGCATTTCCCCAGTTACTGTATTTAAGTCCACATTTGACATACTTGTACTGTATTTCCATTTTATGCTACTTTATACTTTTACTCCACTACAGTTTAAAAACAAATACTGTGCCTTTTAGTCTTCTACATTTGTTCAACAGTCACAGGTTCATATATATACTGTATTTGTTGAGCTAAAACATACCAGTTAACCCAGTTAATCCAGACCAGCTAATAAAATGACCTATACCTATATGAACTTTAACTTGAAAACCCCACTTATCCATATATACATCATGTGATATAAAATAGCATAAAACTCACAGGGCCTATGTTGATTGCATAAAGTATTTAGTTTAAAATTTTTAAGTGGGTTTTACTAATTTACTGAGTTACTGATAAAATTTTTAAAGGGTGTGTATCCTCTGTATATGTCAGTATGTTACCTCTGCTGCAGTAAGAAAGATTTCTTCAGTAATATGTGGGATGGCGCAGGCAGTGACACCCAGGCCCACACCGGGGAAGATGTAGGCATTGTTTCCCTGACCAGGGTAGAATGTCCTCCCATCAGGCAGGGTGACTGGGTCAAATGGACTGCCGCTGGCAAAGATGCCCCGCCCCTGCAGCACAGAGTAGCACGGTAAAGGTGTTGTCTGACAGGGAGGGCCTCCGTTGCCTTCAATGTAAGCACAGTGGCAGGCGCTTCCCCCATTTTAAGCTATAATCTACTGCTCCAGCTGTGTGGAGAGATTGTACTAGGTACTGTAGATAGTGGACTAAAACAAAACCTCAGTGTCCTGTGGGAGTACCTCTGTAAACCTGTAACACTGCTCAGCAGTGCATTCTGCTTTGCTGGTTGGGTTGCTGAGGGCAAAGATGATTGGGCGTTCATTGAAGGAAGCCATGTCCTTGATGATCTGCTCAGAGAAGGCTCGGGCAACAGCTGCCACACCTAAGAAAGACAGCCATCAAAGAGCAAAATATCCCATTTTATAAAACGTCTTTAGGAGCTTGTCTAATGTTTTAGACTTTTAACTTGAAAAACAGGCTGAGAGCATTCCCCTTAAATTCTTAATAAAGTCTGCAAATGTAACCTATCACTCCTTTTCAATCCATCAGTATTATCTAGAGTATGAAAATCTGTTAGTATGAAATCTATATGTCTTATAAAAACACTCATGCTTGTTGTTTTACCAATGATAACAGTGGGTTTCAGTTCACGAACTACATCCTCTAGATGCTTCATCTGTGGGTGCTCATGGGCAAACCTCTCCTTCTCACGAGTCAGGTGGTCGCGACCCTACGCAGGGGGAGAGCAGATGAAGAGGAGGCCATTAAAGACATGAAACCATATGTAAAGTCGCCAGACACTGTGAAAAAACATGTCTGAGTTTGACATGTGGCATCATTGTTAATGCTTCATGACAGTTTTAGTGTGAGTGGGTTAAAGTATTTATTGCAAGAGCTCCTCTTCAGTGCCGGCTGCAAACAAAGAGGGAGTAAGTAGGAGGGGGAAACCGATGAACATGAAGAGGAGATATAGGTTGGAAGGAGGGGGGGGACTACAGATGGATATTGTGGACAAAACAGATGCATAATCCTCCGGAGAGCATTTTGCAGTGATTCCAAGAAAAGACTTCTGTGATCTAAATTAACCAGCCAAAGGAAATGTTTTTACATGATTGTGGAGGTGGATCTCATGCCAAAGTGATTAGAAGAATCTGCCCTCTAAGACGCTTAACCTGTGATGTAACATAAAACTGTCCTGTTTAGTTCATTTCAGAATTTGTTTTTGTTAAATCTTTTCTTTTTCTATCCGACTTATCTTCTCTGCTTTCTGGGATTATTTTTTGACATGACACATCATAGCAAAAGCTGGGCTGTCACTGTCTCACTGGTCTATCCTGGTCAGCTACAGTGTTACATGAATATTATGTGTGTCTAAGCCCACATATGTACATGTTTGCAAATTTTTAGACAAACACCTTGACAATAAGACCCTTGGAATCGACCATCCAGATCTTTTTTAAGCACTCTTCCTCAGGGAGTCCCTCCTTCTCCATGGCCATGATGATCAGCTCAGCAATCCCCATCGCTGCCTGGGAGCAAGACAAAAACAAAGCAAGAAAGAGGAGGGAGGAAGGAGCTGCTTAGTGATAGTTTCATACTAGCTTCGGTAGCTTTAGTTTCACATGTCATGAGACACAAAATCTCATTAGTCTCATCAAAACAACATCTGATTTGAACATTTTTCTTGTATCTGAAAGTTTTACTAATCATGGTGAAGCAACAAGGCTTGGCACTTGGCTTGGCCAATAACTATATTAAAACTACAGTACAGTGCCTTGCGAAAGTATTCGGCCCCCTTGAACTTTGCGACCTTTTGCCACATTTCAGGCTTCAAACATAAAGATATAAAACTGTAATTTTTGTGAAGAATCAACAACAATTGGGACACAATCATGAAGTGGAACGAAATTTATTGGATATTTCAAACTTTTTTAACAAATAAAAAACTGAAAAATTGGGCGTGCAAAATTATTCAGCCCCCTTAAGTTAATACTTTGTAGCGCCACCTTTTGCTGCGATTACAGCTGTAAGTCACTTGGGGTATGTCTCTATCAGTTTTGCACATCAAGAGACTTAAATTTTGCCCATTCCTCCTTGCAAAACAGCTCGAGCTCAGTGAGGTTGGATGGAGAGCATTTGTGAACAGACCTGGCCGTCCCTCTAAACTTTCAGCTCATACAAGGAGAAGACTGATCAGAGATGCAGCCAAGAGGCCCATGATCACTCTGGATGAACTGCAGAGATCTACAGCTGAGGTGGGAGACTCTGTCCATAGGACAACAATCAGTCGTATACTGCACAAATCTGGCCTTTATGGAAGAGTGGCAAGAAGAAAGCCATTTCTTAAAGATATCCATAAAAAGTGTCGTTTAAAGTTTGCCACAAGCCACCTGGGAGACACACCAAACATGTGGAAGAAGGTGCTCTGGTCAGATGAAACCAAAATTGAACTTTTTGGCAACAATGCAAAACGTTATGTTTGGTGTAAAAGCAACACAGCTCATCACCCTGAACACACCATCCCCACTGTCAAACATGGTGGTGGCAGCATCATGGTTTGGGCCTGCTTTTCTTCAGCAGGGACAGGGAAGATGGTTAAACTTGATGGGAAGATGGATGGAGCCAAATACAGGACCATTCTGGAAGGAAACCTGATGGAGTCTGCCAAAGACCTGATCCTGGGACGGAGATTTGTCTTCCAACAAGCCAATGATCCAAAACATAAAGCAAAATCTACAATGGAATGGTTCACAAATAAACATATCCAGGTGTTAGAATGGCTATGTCAAAGTCCAGACCTGAATCCAATCGATAATCTGTGGAAAGAACTGAAAACTGCTGTTCACAAATGCTCTCCATCCAACCTCACTGAGCTCGAGCTGTTTTGCAAGGAGGCATGGGCAAAAATTTCAGTCTCTCGATGTGCAAAACTGATAGAGACATACCCCAAGCGATTTACAGCTGTAATCGCAGCAAAAGGTGGCGCTACAACGTATTAACTTAAGGGGGTTGAATAATTTTGCACGCCCAATTTTTCAGTTTTTTATTTGTTAAAAAAGTTTGAAATATCCAATAAATTTCGTTCCACTTCATGATTGTGTCCCACTTGTTGTTGATTCTTCACAAAAAATTACAGTTTTATATCTTTATGTTTGAAGCCTGAAATGTGGCAAAAGGTCGCAAAGTTCAAGGGGGCCGAATACTTTCGCAAGGCACTGTATGTGACTTTTTTTGTAGAAATCTTCTCCAAAACCGGTCTTAATGTGGAGATGTGCGGTCAACGCCTCCTGTGACCCAGACTCACTGAGCAGCACTGGCAGCAGTACAGAGATATTAGTTTCTGAAAGCTTCTGAGAGGGGCTGACCTCTCTAACTGATCAGAGATTTTCACTTATTTCTGCTTGACCAGTAAGTTTTGTTGCATTTTCATTTAATGTAATTTCATAACAACAAATATCTAAGGAGCTGGGCAGAATATGGTGGAGCGTAACAGATCATAGTGGAGCACAGTGGAGCACGGAGAGGGAGTGGTGGGCAGAGCGGAGTGGGGTGATTTGGAGCTTCATGCTAGTGCTACCTTAAGTTACATATTGTAGCTTTAAAGGTAATAAACTTATACATGCAAATCATTCCCTTGCACATAAATTAAACAGTCCAGAGCATTCTTAGGCTAAAACTGTTCAAAATGTTCCATCCAATTTAATGAACCCCTTGATTAAAATGGGACTATGTAACTTTTATAAGAAAAAAAAAAACACAACTGACTTAAGATATTGAGAAATTAATGGAAATGCAATTTCCCATTATCTTCTGATCACATCTTGTTGCCGCTGTTCAGCTTAGTGTCCAAAACCAGAATTGCTTAACGTATGCTGCACCTACCTCCCCTGCACCTTGGAACACTATGGTGTGGTGGCTCATTTTGCTGTTGGTGATGCGGAGGGCAACCAAGAGTCCAGCTACTGCCACTGCAGCGGTACCTGTGGAATATGATACAAAAACATTAATGACCACATATTCTGTTGTCTTTTGGTTGTGTTTTCCTTTTTTTGATTGCCAGTTTGTGGTCGCTGAGCCTGTACGTGGTTAGCACCTGTTTTTATCTATGACAGTAAAGAAATATTCTGCCAATTCATAATGTCTTCTTAGGGCCAGGTAACATTCTAATCTACACTGCCACATGTATTCTTTCCAGTGTTCCACATGGGTTCCTTACATTAATGCTTCTTTACAATGCTTTATGATTTACTTTACTCTTACTGGTGTTTTTAAAAACAGTGTTGTTGTGAGACTGCTCAGAGTGTCTCTCTTTGTTTCTCATCTAAATACATTTTACTAGCATGATAGTTTCTGCTGTTGCCTTATACCAAAAGCAAGATTATTTATTATTTTATATCACATTCTATCAATAAAATTAAATGAGCTAGAAGAACTGACCAACTTAACCTTTGTATTATTCTGCATTTCAGTGGCTAAGGTGTGGTCACTCAGTGTGTACTGTACATCATCATCAGCTAAAAACACATGTATGTTAACAACCCGACTCCAAAACCCAGTCCGCACTGTGTCGGTTTGTCCCATATCACGGCCTCTGTTTTATATTTGGATTGTACTGGGAGGATGGCAAACAATGAGTTGACTGTATAAAATCATGACTGACAGAAACTAAATAACTAAAAATCATACTTGGTTATCTGGGCTCTTTATGGCAATGTTCAATAATAAAATCCCATCCAATAAATGCATTCTCTTACTGTTAATTCAGGTGTGACTGAGCACATAGATGACAAACTCGGCGAGTGTTAAACTGGTTTATAAGTGTTTAATTAAATAGTTTACTCATAAGATTTTGCTGACTCCAAGTTGTTACCACATAATGACCTTTTGACAGTTTACACAGTTTATTAGATCTGATAGTCACCTGCTAGCTACAGTGCATCAGATCAGATCACTACTGTTAGCGCCTCAGGTTTTCAAAACCTTCCTTACCTCAGCTACCTACTCCACAGGTTAATAACAAAGTGGAGTAATAAGGAATCTTAAACTTAAAAATCTATCTTTTGAAGTTTTCTTGTCTGTCCAGAACTAAAACTGAGAACTATTCTGCTGCTGAGCCTACAAACATCGCCAATGAAAACACCACTTAAACAACATAAGAAGAGTATGTTAAAACTGCTGTTAGTGTTAGTCCCTGGATGAATACATTTGTACATTACTTAACAGCACCTGCTGACTTTCTACTAAACAATTCTAATCTGAAATGTAACCAGTATTGTTTCAGTCTGAATTAAACATCCATCCATTATCAATACTGGTTATTCCTGAACAGGATCATGGGGGGAGGGAGCCGATCCTAGCTGACACTGGGCGAGAGGAGGGGTCCACCCTGGACAGGTCACCAGTCTATCATAGGGCATGTAGACAAACAACCACACACACCCATCATGCCCCTGAGCTGACCACAGTGTGGCCTGGAGAGCTGAAGCCCCACCTGACAACCAGGTTACCATCTGTTCTATATTATGTTGGGGCAGTTCTTAGATACTGTTAAAGCCTTTGTTTTAGACTTTTTCTAGGTCTGTTTGTTTGTGGCATCAAACGGGTACAACATAAATTAAAGTTTGAGATCTGTAAGCCCATACTGAGGCTGTCAGCACCCAGGGCCAATTGTCTCTTAAATATCGCTTCAGTCTACGCATGAAGCTGAGGTGCTTTGGTCTTAGCAGGTTATTTGTTAAACAGGTGACTGTTCATTTACAGGGTCCCCCAGCATCATGCATTTCAGCACTAAGTGTTCACTGCCCAACTTTTCGACCGGTTCCATTAATACATCAAAACCTTCTAAGTTTGATGAGATTTCAAACTCATATTGTAAGCATCGTAAAACTCAGCCCATATTTTGTCAGACAAACTGTCTGCTATGGCCTTTAAATCTTATATGTCCAAATTCACTTTGGCTTTTTTTGCTGTATGAGCAACTAGAAGCAAAATAAGGTATGTCGTGTTTCCTGTGCTCATTGTCTGTGTGTGCTGTGGCATCTTGCACACGTGTTGCCACATCTGGAGCATTTTCCTGAGGAGCCATCTGTGATCCTACACTGTCCATCATGCTGACAGAAATGTATTGTGCAGAACCTATAAAATAACTATTAGAATGTTACTCTAAGTATTTGGAACAAACAGTATGTTGTTATTATATGTACAGTATTGTGTGTGTGTGTGTGTGTGTGTGTGTCCAGGTCATTCACTGTCGTTCAGGTTGTGGGATTGATTGTTTATGCTGTTGCCTTATTCCCAAAGCATTTTTTTTTTAATTTTTGGATATTAAATCCTATCAAATAAACTAAATAAGGTAGATAATCACAAGAGAACAAATAACCCACTTTACACAGTACAGTTCTTTATAACATGCTGTATACTATAACCCCAAATTATAAAAGAAGACATTTTAGTTTCATTTTACCACTAAAAGAGCTTGTTATGTTTCTGTGGTGGAGGATTTGTGGACACTCTGCAGCCTACTATGTGATGCTAGCTTTGTTAGCAGCACATTCCTCTGTTCATTCTGAACTAATGTTAACATTCATTCATGCTGACATTTCATGAGGGTGAAACACCTGTAAGTGCATACTTGAAGCACACAAACCTATTTTAGAAAATATTTAGTGATACATGTGAAAAGGTATTATATAACTGACCAACATGAGAGCTATCTGATTTATATCAGAATCCATTTACATATGTAACAATGCCATTGTTTACAAACAAACAACATTTGAGTTACATATTTCTCCAAATCAAATGTACATCAGCACGTTACATTTTTGTCTCTCTCTTTTTTTAGGGTTCCGTAAAAATATGGCTTTAGGTTTCATGAAATTATACAAGACTAATTTACACAAATATTAATATTTTCTTCTGGCACTGGCCCTGTGGTTTTATGAAAGAGCAATGACTCAATGGGATACATGGACAGAGGACGTTTATCTTTCTTTGTCTTTGATGAAATACCTTGTATGTCATCGTTGAATGTGCAGTACTTGTTGCGGTACTTGCTCAGCAGACGGAAAGCATTAACATTTGCAAAGTCCTCAAACTGTATCAGACAGTCCATTCCATACCTGTAAACACAAGAGCAGCATTTAATCAGACTGAGCCAACACTGAACTTGAGAAGACATTTAAAAAACTATCTATATCAGGTAACAATGCAAAGTCTTGTCTTAACATTGACAGACCATTTTTAAATAAACATTTGCACACATTCAGTCACACACAAATATATATACTGCTCAAAAAAATAAAGGGAACACAACATAGTTGAATGTCTTATTTTTGTGTTCCCTTTATTTTTTTGAGCAGTGTATATACACTATATATATATATAGAGAGAGAGAGAGAGAAAGAACAGCTTTCATAGGCTTTACTCCAGTCCACAGGAGGGTGCTCTGTCTCTACACAGCATGATGAGAGATGAGCGAGGTGACGGTGGCCTCTCAGTGCACTCAAGTTTAAACAATGGGCTGAATTTGGTTTTCTGAATGTGCACAGCTATAGGAAGATGTGTCACATTAATTAGAAAGCAATACTCTTTAAATAAAAGCATTGTCTAAAGTGAAATTTAAAGTTACACAACTTTGTACATCGTTTTGTTTAACAGAGGTTTGACAAACTGACACCTGGTTTCCCAACTTTATGGCAGCACCTCACAACAAGTTTCAGTGAAGGAGGTCAAGCCTCCACAAAAGAGCAGAATCACAAAAACACTAAATTTGAAGGACAAGAACCTAGAGCCCAGTCAGTCCCATAGTAAGCCTCTGATGCTGCTCAGACAACCTATCTGTGCTAATAAACTTATTAGAGCATGGATCGGGCTGTATATTTCTGTCCGAGCCCGACCCATGCCAGAGAGTGTGCCGTCCGGACCCAACACAAGCCCAATGTAGTTGAGTTTCTATGGTGTTTTTCCCCTTCTCATTAATCAAAACAGACATTTGAGTGCTCCAGCCATCTAGCCTAAGGTTTGACCTACATGCCTGAATCCGACCTGGACCGAACCTGACGGGTCCCATCAGGTATCCACACTCTAAAGCTACTACAAAAAACCTTATACAACAAAAAATAAACCATAAGCTCAGCATCATGAGTCTGTAAATTAGTTTTAGCAGTGACAAATGGGAATCCCACATTCCAGTGCCTTTCAGCAATGAAACTGTTCAGGATTTTACTGGATGTTTGCTGCACAGCTGCTGCTGACTCCAAGATGAACGGCAGGTTTGCAGCTGTCGGAAAAGGTGAAGTGTGCAGGATAACAAAAAGCACTGATGCTGATGGCAGATGCAAGAAAAATGCTGTTTATACAGTGGTAGAAGGATTGGTCTCCAAACAGCAGGAGGACACTGCAGCGGATGTCATATTGTGAATGGGTCTGTTTTTTAACTTGAAATTCCACAAATTCCAGTGTTAAGCTGTGATTGGACACTTGTTATTTGAGGAAGTTTTTTAATCAAATGGTCATTATCTTAAAAAATTCTTAGACAAGACGAAACTGTATTAAAACAAGATTGAAAAAACCTTTAAGATTCAATAATACTCAATAATAAAAACAACCAAGACTGATCTTTTTTGAAAAACAAATGACAAAAGCAGAAGATAATGGCTATAACTACACTGATGTGTCTTGGAACAATGTGACACACCCTGAATGTACAGATACAGTAGATTAGCAGGACTGTGGTTTCTTTGTTTCAGATAGACACAATGAGAGGAGAGGGCGAGGCAGGTTTGAAACCAGTATTACAAACACCAGAGCTCATGTTTCATTAAGTGAGGGCTGGTCCTGTCAGTTAACTGAACTACAGGGAGCAGTGCAAAGGATGTATGTTTTTAGATCCTTCCTCGTCACATTTGTTTGCATAATTAAAGTTTGTTTTTTTTTCCTCTTTTTCTTGATGGTCCATCTCTGTTTCCCCCCAGAATTCATAAAAGTGTTTCATACTTTGTAAAGACAAGGAACCTCATGTGTTGTTTTTGTACCATTCACTAAAGTGGTTTCCCACTTGTCACAATGGCTGCTAAACTGCTTAAAATTTCCGCAGGAGGAGGGTGCAGCTAAGCAGAAACACAACAAGAAAAAAGAAAGGCAGGATGAGAAGTGACCTGGGTTCAGATGTAATAAAATATAATGTCCTGATGAGAAAGTGCCACTGCAGAGTCAGTGTTTATCTTTCCCTCTGCCACAACTGCAAGACCCTGATACCTAATGCAGAGACTGACCACCCTGCTGACATACTGCCAACGAGGCATTAGCGTTGAGGAGAGAAATGTGTTTTCTATCAAGCAGAGAGCAGCACTAAAGTACTGAGAGCTTGTGCGAAGAGGAGGAATAATGAGGCCAAGAAGGGAGCTATAAACTTTTCATTGTGTTTGAGCTTTAGGAGACGGAGACAGGAGACAGGCAGGGAGAGACGTGGCCTTGCCCTGGTGCCAGTGCAGCACCCTCTGGTATGGTTTGGTGCAGCTCGCTGTTGGAGGGGTCACATGAGTTCACACAGAAACAAGCTGCTCCTGCAGAGTCCAGACAGTGAGATTTAGAAGTACAGCTCTCTGCAGAACAGGAAAATCATGCTGAATATGCTGCAACTATTCTCATCATACAATAAAGACAGAGGATTTTGTGGCCTGTCAAACACTAAATTCATACTTTTTAATCACAGTGACACAGATCTGAAAATGACTGAGCTGTGAACACATGCATATTTATAGGCATCCACTGACCATAAGCCACAGAACAAGCATCTGTGGCTGTGGGAGTGCAGCAAGAAAAGAACATCTTCCCAAAAAGCTCTCTGGTCCACGTCCTGAGCCAATAAAGAGAAGGGGGGGAATGTTTTTGACTGTGTGCATGCACACTGAATAGACCAGCTCTCTTCCCATTTGTATTTGTTATCCCTATTTTGATTGACAGTCTCTTGTCTTCCCGTTACAACCCAAAAAAAACCTGGACAATGGAGCAGGATTTGCTTTTGGATCTAAGCTGAAGTGTGTAGGGCAGTAAGCTAAGCAAGGCAGGGCACACCCAAAAGATGAAAAACAACAGACCGTATTCCTGACTGTGCTATGAGAAATCCTTTTATCACCCAGCAGTGGAGAAGAAAGGCAGCAAGATCAGGGCAGAGATTGTTCTCACAGAAAGTATTCTACAATAGCAATTCATGTTTGAGCTAGAAAAGAAGGGTGTATCTTTATAGCTATAAAAGTCTGATGTACATTTTTAAAAATAATGTTAAGATAGTAGGGAGCAGTAATGACGTTTTGGATTCATTCAGTGTTTATAAATTGATAGAGAAGAGCCTACAGGAGATGTGGTATGTGAGGTTAACACACATACAGTACTCTCACTATGCTGAGGTTCATTAGCTAATAAACAATATAAAAAGCTATTATTCACTCACAAATATGTACTTACAGTCTGTTACAATTACAATTGCTTTGTTGTTTGAGATGGAATTCACTTTGGCAATGAGAACATAATGGTCAAGGGCTCCAAGCCCAAAGGTCAGGACTTGTTGTGAACTCCAGTTTTCAGACTGCTCCCCACCTCTCATGACTGTTAGAGTATAAAAACAGAGACTGTGTAACCCTGCTGGCTAGATTTCCATCACTTGGTTCAGTGCTTTGTCAACAGCAGTGTCTGCTTGGAGAGCTCTGAGACAAAAGGGGCCTGGTGGGAAAGCATTCAGATACTCATTGGGATGAAGGAACGGGATTAAAGAAAACAAAACAAAAACTCTCTCACACCTGCTTAAGGATGTAAAACAGAGACAGCCAGAACTGATATGACTGCTCCGGTTTCCCAGTCTGTGCAGAAACACAAATAAAAACAGCAGAGGAAAAGAATAAAGTTTTGTTGTTCTATTGTCAACTAAAGTTGCATATTGCAGACTTGTGGTACTTGCAGGTCAAACGCCATGTAGATGCCATCCCTGGTTATTATTTATTAATACCTAGGGATGACAACACAAGTCAACAACCCCAGACCTGTCATCACATTTAGTTTTATTACTGACAAATCCTGATTTGTGACTTCACCTGTTGCCAACTGAGCCCCACCCACTTCAAAATAGTGAAAACATTATCCACACTGTTCTAACTCTGGGAGGAAATATTTGCTTCTGTACGGCTGCATCACTCATAAAGAAAAAACAAACAAACAAACTAGCTGAGACCTCTAAAAGCTCCAAAATAATGCGAGCAGTGTCTGTAAACCAATCATTCATTCATGCAGCATTCTGTAGATTATCATATGAAAGCAGGTGTTTTGACTGATTTGGAAACTGGAGACTTCCAGAAGCAGAACACGAACACACCATGCAGACAAGACAGCAGTCGCCCCATTCCTGTCCTGGGCCTGTTTGATCTGTCTGAGTGATGCTGCCAGAATGACACACAGCTCCTTTCTGCTTGAACCCTTTATTTCACTGTGATGTATGACTTGCCACAATAATATGGCCAGTAGAATGGAAGACAGACACTCAGACTCATTGTTTTCTAGGGCAATACGTGCAGGGTTTCTTGGTGCTTACTGCCAAACCAGCCCAAAGTATTGACAATAAATGATTGTGATGTTACTATTGTTTAACAGTATGAAAAAAGGGCCTGATACATGAGACAGCAAGCGCCTTCCCATGTGGTGAATCACTCAGACATTTGGTGTTTTGTCAGGGCCAATCTGTAGGACGAGGTAGTTAATGAGAGACCCAGCTCCTTCAGGAAACACAATCTGGCTTCATCTGAGACTTGATGCAACCTGAATCTCATGTGAATAGGAAGTAGACGGATGTCAGAGGACAAGCACAGGAGAAGGTACGAAGAGGTTCTATTAGCAGGAGCACAGGGAGGACTACTGCAAAGAAGGTCACAGACAAGGGTGCTCTGTCCAAACACAGCTGTCAAACGTGTGTGTCTATGTGCGTTTTTGCATGCACGCACACACACACACACGCACACACACACACACACACACACACACACACACACACACACACACACACACACACACACAGGCTGTCTGTTACCCACTGTCCCTATGGGGCTTTGTGGATCAGGCCTTAATAAAACCCCAGCCCTCTCTCACTCTCCAGAGAGTCAACATCTCTCAGCACACATTATTTCTCAAATCCCTGAGCCGTCATTAAAGGCAGACGCATTCTGCATTCTTTCTCCTCTCCTCTGTTGCGCCATCCATCCTTCCATCCATCCATCTTTCCTTCCATCCATCTGTTGGTCTGACTGACTGTTCCGTATTCTCTCAGTGCCAAGAGTTTAAAATAGCTGATGACATTCATGTAGTGGTTTCATGCTAACCAGATTTGTTTGAGGAACACCCTAGAGCCTGTTCTGTCCAACACTGTACAACCAATTGTGACATGAACAGTTCTGACATCATGACACAAAGTATTCTTGACTAAATTATATGTCTGCTAGTATACTTTAATTATTTTATTTTAAAGAATAAAACTGGTGATTAAAAAAAAAAACAAACTATTATAATATGTCAATGAGCCAAACCTTTGCGCTGGGTGACATTCTCCTTCACACACTTTAGTTTGTTTCCCAAAATGCACCGGCTGCCAAACTATTCATGAAAACACCAAATGTATATTAATCCACAGCTGAAAATAATTCCAACAAATGCACTATTTACTCCTATTTGTGTAACATTTACATTAAGATGACAGAGCCTGCAGAGGCTCAGGGCACAGTATCGTTACCTGTCTGTCGAACACAGCCAGGTCAAGAGGCGCGTGTGCTGTTCCGCAGGACACTCGGTTTACGTGTGGCGGTTGTTGTGGCAACAGGGAGGCCTGTGGGGGTGGGGCAGGGGCTTATGTGGTCTCACTAAATAATAACTCGAATTAAGTTACAGCATGATTTTAGCTGAAATATGATGCCAAGTAACTGGATTGTTAGCTAGTACTTGTGTGTAGTTTGTTAACACCATCATCATCATCTCAGCACCTTGATACAGAGAATTCTGCACACACCAGGACAAAATACAGCAGGGATTAAGTGTGATGAAATGTGACAAAATGGTGAGTGATAACCTCAGTCCAAAGTTTTAAATCCACAGTGGAGTCTTGGCTCATCCTTTTAAAGTGCTGAGGGTGTGTTCAGCAGCAGTGTGATGATGAGAGTGTTTTTTGTCTGCCTGAAGACAAGAGCTGTAGACAGCGTGTGCAGACTGTTCAACAGGGGCAGATTCTGTTCATGAGACGAAATCAAACATTCGGTTGCATCACTAACCAGTCCTCTTCATCTAGGAAGTATTTTTAAATGGTAGATTAAAAAAATCCCTCTAGACTTCTGCTTACTGATGGCGAGTCAATGTGGAGCATTTGAGTTCATGTTTAGCTTCTATCTAAACATGAATATTACTTAAAAGACTGCAGAGCTGTAATCATTCGTTCACTCTCTGAGCCCATAATTATTCATTTTCCACCAATCTGGCTCCTTCAGGGAAAAAGCATCACTGCTCCCTATAGTTGAGAAGCCACCCGGTTATTAGAGTCATGGCTTCCTGTTGCCAGCTGGAGGGGGCCCAGACCCGAGCTTCTCCCTCTGCATTCTGGTCTCTCTGGATTTGGATGAAGCTTAACCAGGCCTGTGTGTGTGTGTGTGGCAGTGATGGCTCCATGGCACATAGGGACGAAGACATACACAGACATGTCCGCATGCATGCAAAGGCACACAAAAATCTTATCAAGTACGGGACTGCAGTAAACACAAAGAGAACGAGCCCCAACTCTCAAAATGTCAGTTCAAAGCATATGAAAAGATAAGATCAGCAGACCATATGCAACCCATCAACGGCTTGCTGTGCCTCCAAGTCAAACAAGCAAATACTGTCACCTCACTGTGATGCACTGCTGCACAAGACAGCATGTAAATAATGCATCCCCTGTGCTTGGGAAAGATATGGCTAGCTATTTTTTCCTGTACTGGGAAGACAGAGAAAACAAAACAGAGAGGTCTCCCACTAGTTGCTTAATTATATTCACTAAGCTTTCAGGTTCTACACTTCTAGATATCATGTTTGCAACCCACAGAGAAGCTCTAATTCCTTCACTGAAGAGAGTGCAGTTTGCTGAGTGGTTTTGAACTGATAAGCAAGTCAGATCATTATGGACAGTTACAGAATATATCATTTTATACTGCCAATGAACCATGCCCATCCAGTAGAATCAATAGTTCCAGTGGTTACCAAGGCTCTCTGATCACTTTTCAGTAAGCTGATACTGCCATTAGACATAGCTTAGCAACCAAACTTAGGTCAAAGAAGGCAAAATTGAATCACCAGTGACTGAATCCCACACGATTTGGCTGCATCACATGCGCTGACCATGGTAAACCACTTAACATTATTCTTTTAAAAGTACCATGTGTTGTCTGTATTAAGATGACAAAGCAGACCATAAAAAAAGGAAGTGGGCAAATGGGGAAGTGAAGGATACCTGTCTGACACAGCCTTCATAAATTCATCAAGCAGGTCATCATACACCTGACCTCGCACTCTCTTATGCCTCAGTCCAATGTAGAAAGGGTCCTTCAGCAGCACCTGCAGAAACACATGGAACGACATGAGTAAATGTGATTCCCTGGGTTTGTAATAGACCTTTGAAAACACCTTGCAGAGCCAAAGAAGACTGATACAACTGCTTTCACAGGCTGAGTGGTACTCAAAATAACTTTTCTTTATGTGTAAAATTGGTACCTAACTACTATTTAGATTTTTATTATTAATTTATTTTAGTTCTTTTAAATGTTATTTCTCTCTTTGCTCCGTGATTCCCTGGCAGGTGACTACACAGAACCAGTGAAACCTGGGCCTGAAGTATGAGATGATTGAGTTTTACATATTATTTAAAACTACCCTGTGTGTTTGTGTGTGTGTGTGTGGTGTGTGTGTGTGTGTGTGTGTGCGTGCTCCTGCATCTTCATATAAAGTAGAAACCACCCCTCTGCATCAGGAGCAATAGAAGACCATTTTAAACCATTTTTTGGATGTGAAAATTAAAGAGAGAGGAGAGACAGTGCAGTATGTGGGCAGATTTTGTGTAATCCTGTAGCACTGTGGAACACTTCCTGTCACGCCATTTCACACAAGGGGAGAATAATGATCCAGGATGAGTGATTTACCAAGCAGCTAGTAATACTATACAATCATAAATTAGTCTAGGTTATGTCTATGTCTATAAAACATTCTAGTTATATTATGAACACTGACCAAGTCATAACTGCACTGGCAAGAAAGGAAGGAAGGTAGAATAGACTGAAATTCAAGGAGTTCCTACAGGAGATAAATGAGAATAAAGAATATAGACATGCAATATGTGCTTAAATTCATATTCTTAGAAATAGAAAAAGTAGTAGTAGAAGCAGAATGTCCTGCGCCAGCTCAGGAAGTTTGACCTGCCCCAGGAGCTGCTGATACAGTTCTACAGAGGAATCATCGAGTCTGTTCTCTGCACCTCCATCACTGTCTGGTTTGGCTCAGGAACCAAACAGGACAAGTACAGACTTCAGCAGACAGTCGGGACTGCAGAAGAGCCTGCCCTCCATGGAGGACCTGTACACCTCATGGGTCAAAAGGAGGGTGAACACTTAACCCATGACTGTATAATAGGACGACAACCCTCAGTACAATATCTGTAAATATACTTTTGTATATATCTATCTGGAAAACTACATCTAAACCGTGCATACAGTGAGGAACAGAAGTATTTGAACACCCTGCGATTTTGCAAGTTCTCCCACTTAGAAATCATGGAGGGGTCTGAAATTCACATTGTAGGTGCATTCCCACTCTGAGAGACAGAATTAAAAAAAAAAAATTCAGGAAATCACATTGTATGATTTTTAAAGAATTTATTTGTCTTGCACTGCTGAACATAAGTATTTGAACACCTGA